CAGGCAGGTGGCATGGGCAGCCCGTTAGCCTTTACTCTTGGTATGAGGAAAGACAGGATGCAGAAAACAACTTATCAGGAAGTTTCCCTTAGTTTCAGTCTGTCTCACAACTGGTGAACCAGGAGATATTTTAGCTAAGGCTGTAAGGCTGGTGTGCCCTCTGTACTTGGCAGCAGAATCACACACAGGGTCTTGGGAAAAACCAGGATGGGGCAAAGACTTTGAAGGGCTGATCAGGCAGCAGAAGGGGGTGTTTAGTTTTAAAATGGCAGTGTTACAGAGCAAGGGCCCACTACAGAACTGGGGTAGCTACTGTGGTTTTGTTCTTGCGATAACACCAGAAAGATTTCAGACATAGCAGGCGTGAGTTTACAAGGGAAAAAGGAGACACACTCATGGTAGAGAATGGGTCCTCCCAGAGAGGAGAGGGATGGTGCGTGCCTCCTGCCTTCCAGTTTTATTGAGGGTGCCAGGCCAAATTCTTGACTTTTGACTGACAGCAGGATTGTATCAGATTTCCAAGTCCCACTGTACAGGGTCTTACCCCATGGAGGGGAGACATGCTAAAAATCCAAGGCAACCATGGGTCACTTTGGCCCACGCTGACCAGTTACAATTTGAACTTGTTCTTACAGATTTTATGGTTAGGGGGCTTGTTTCTAACTATCATCATCTCCCTGAGTTCCTGAATCTGGTCTGCATAAAAGTCACAAAAATCTTTTCAGGGTAACTTTATAGAATTATCCCCTTAACCTCACGTTCCCTCCATTTACATCAATTACCTATCAGCAGGACTGAAGGAACTGGGACAGCCCCCAGACTGTTATCACATGGTACTTGGCAGCAGAATCACACACAGGGTATTGGGAAAAACCAAACCAGGTTGGGGCAAAGACTTTGAAGGGCTAATCAGGCAGCAGAAGCGGGTGTTTAGTTTTAAAATGGCAGGTGCTAGCTCAGGACAGTATGCACAGGCAAATTAGGGTACAAGGCTCCCTGGGAATACGGTGTTATGAAGTTGTTAGGTAGTAGATAGCAATGAGCAGAGAAATGCATGGTAAGGTCATAAGCATTCTTTTAATTATTTTAGGGTCTCCTTTAAACTAATTTCCAAGAAAGCATTGGGTGGTAGTTAATTTATAGAAAATAAACAGAAGTAAAGGAGCTAATTAGGAAATATGTTAAAAGGATTAACGGGACTAACTCTTGACAGGGTCCATTGAGGTTGATGTGACGCTAGGAATTATGGCCATAGGTGTCTCCATTTGTGTAGGAAGGAGGATTTCTTTAGTAGCACAGGGGCACTAAGATAACTTCTGACCAGCTACTGACCCCAGAGCCCACATTAACATGGGATTAACTTGTAGACGAAGCCCCCCTAAATAGGATGGCCACCATGACAGTTCTGCAGAGGACCAACTAAGGTCAAAACCTCTACCGCCTGATGTGAAGGAGGAGTTGGACAACTGAGAAGCATCAAACAGTAATAGTTTAGATACAGTGTTGGCTCCTTTGTCATTCCTCTTGCTTGGAGGCGGCCCACTCTCTCTGCTTGACCCTTGCCTTGCTTTTACTTTTACCTCACTTTACTTACAATAAAACCGTCTTGTATATTTTTTGGTGTCTGACTTTAAGTTTTCTTTTGTCAGAACACAAGAACCAAGGTTTAGAGTTTCAGCTCCCTGTTTTCCTATGACAGAATCAGCGATTTTTCTTTTCTTTTTTTAATCCAAGTGACTCATCTTTAGAGCTGGTTGGGACATGGACCCTAGAGAAAATACTGACTGTGGGTATGTGTGCCTGGCCTGGCAAGGCAGAACATAATCTGTTTCATTGAAAGGCCTCTGACATAGGAGACTGAGCTGTAGGGAGACCTATATGGATGCACAGTTGAGTGACAATGTGCTTACTCTCTGCAAGTATGCTCTGTTCTTTTGGCTTGTGATGTGCCCTGAACCCCACTGCCAGGAAACAGCCGGGCCAAGGCTTGCTTCAGACATCCACGAACACCCACTTGAGCCAGGTTCAGCTTTAGGTGTTGAAACAAACTGAATTTGGAAACCTCCCCTTCCCTACCTCCTGAAATTAGGAAGATAAAGATAGTGGCCCAAGGAGAGTGGCTCCTTTGGGTATAAGGAGGCTCCAAGAACCAGTGAAATACCTGTGATACTGCTTTTAGAACTAAGAAGGAGGTGGAAGCTGTGGGAATCCTATCTTTGTCTTAATCTACCCCTTTTCCCCTTAAAACCTTTCCTTGTCCCAGAGCTTTTCAGAGATGGAACTGTTGAAACAATTAAGTTTCTTCCATCTTCCTTCAAAGCTGGATTTGAATAAAACCTATTTTCCTACCAATCCGACTCTGAATATTTCTGGAGTAGAGAACATTATGGCCTAGTCTGCTCCTACATGGGTGGGATCTTGTGCACCTAGTAATAATATGACAGCGGACAAGATCCCTCATGAAGCTCAGTCTGCACAGACCAGGAGGCCAGGCATAATCAATGAGATAAATACCTACAGGCCAGATGTTGATCAGTGCAAAGGAGGAATAAAGGCAGTGAAGAAGGTAGTGAGGGCTAGTGGGTAAGAAAAGATATAATTTTCAATAGTAAGGGTGGGAAGGCTTCAGTGAGATGGGGATACGTGAGCAAACAGCTGAAGAAGGGAAGAAAAAGGCATGCAGGTATCTGGAGAAGCATTCTAGGCAGAGGGCCTGAGACTACAAGGAGAGCAGTATGGCTGGGGCCAAGGAAACAAGGAGGTCAGTAATGCCAAATGGAATCACAGAGAGAGAAATAACGGCCACCCACCATTCTCCTAATACCTCCTGGCCCTTGTCCTCCTCTAGTCTAGTGTCATCAGAGGAGTCAGTGAGAACTTGGAAAACCTGAGTCAATCACTACACCTCCTGAAAATCTTCCAGTGACTCTCCATTTCATACAGAGCAAAACCCAAGATCCCTACAATGTGCCAATAGGAAGAGTCCAGTGGACGGAAGTGATTGATGGGGTGGGGGGAGATGCTGGAGAGGCATCTTTAGGTGAGCAACTGATCTTTGCAAGGCCTACAGCTCTGCTACTCAGTTCATACACCAATCCTGACTAGGGAGGTTCTTTAGATCTAGGAGAAAATAAGTCAAAGTTGAAATTACATAGAAATCTGTTTTGTGGAAATCTGGTGGCTTGTCAATCACTACACAAGGGATTTCTTTTCCCAGCTTGTTAAATGATTCATCTCATAATTAGCTGTGTTTCCTTCCTAGCCATGCTTCTACAATAAAATAAAAATTATATGTGGCTCTATTGATCTTTATAATGAAAGATCTTGTCACTCTTTACTTGCCAGGGAGAAAACAGTCCCATGATTGGAAAGGGAGGTGAGGAAATGCAGCAAAGGAAATGTCACATCTGGAGGAACAAACCCCGAGGGACCTGCTGAGGCATCAGGATCTGCACAGTCTAAGTGCCTATGTATAGCTGGCACGATGCCAAGAAAACACTGTAAAGTTCCAAATACTTTAAGAACTATTCTTACAATTTTGTGATTTCCTCCTCTAATTCCTTTATGTAAGAAGTAGAAATAATGTCCATCTCCACCTAATTTACATAATCTCAGTGTATAGAAATAAGAGATCTTTTATTTCCCAGAAAGCCTCATAAATGCCTCTTATTTTCTGGTTTTCCTATCTGAGAATGCTGGCCATGAGCTTGTCTGTGTCTTGTCCCTGGATCAGTTTTAGCTTGGACAGCTTTGTTCAGAGCCACTAGTGAGACTTTTGACATAGCAGTTGGAAAGGTCAAGTGTGAACACTCATGAGTGGTAACCAAGGCCGAGTGTACAAAGAAGAGTAAGTAAATTATAGAGCCTCTGGGTTGAACTGGTAAATTGTGTTTTCACTTTAAAAATAAATTACAGCTATTATCTTCAAAAAGGAGACTGATGGACAGAAATAACTTTCCACTATGCCTTTGATTAAGGCCAATTTCTGCTCCATTAACAAGAATAATCTATCTTAAACTAAATGAGCAATTAAAGGACAAGTTAACCTAAATGTCATATTTCTTTTCTTCAAATGGGAAATTATCTTCACAATCTAAATCAAATAAAACTTCTTTGTGGGCTAGGCTTGTAATTCAGTGGTAGAACACTTGCCTAGCACATGTGAGGCCCTGGATTCTACCCCAATACACCAAGAGTCTTCCTGAGGCTGGGCAATGACTGTAATCCTGGCAACTCAGGAGGCTGAGGGAGGAGGATTTCACCCACATCTATAGCTTTGGCAACTTAGTGAGGCCTTGTTTCAAAATAAAAGATGAAAAGGACTGTGGATATAGCTTAGAGGTAAAGTAACCCTGAGTTCAATCCCCAGTACCTAAAAAATAGTCTTCCACAAATGCTGAATTGTTTTACGTAAAATGTAGTATTTGTATACAGCTTTAGAGTCTATTTCACTTTGTATAGACAGAAAGAACCCCAGCCCAGGCTGACTCTACAAGTTTGCTACTGCCATTGTGGGCCAATTGAGGATCACAAACTCAGTAGGTATTTGATCTTGACCTAGCCAGAAACAGCAAAAGGCAGGCCACTGGGTCCTGATGGTGTCAGTTTCCTAGCACCTACAGAGGATGCTCTTGACACAGGCATGGTGGGAAGATGGGGGGACACACAGCATACTGCAAGTGGTCAACGGTGTTTGGTTACAGAGCAGAACACAATCAAGAATGACAGTGACCTGTCCAGACCTATTCACAAAGTTGGCAGACTTCTTCCCTCACAGCATGGCAGATGTGCAGGGAGATGGTTAGCACCTCCGCCTTGCTTCTCTTCCTGGAGGCACTGAGCATTTTTGTTCTTTTCTGTTTGGTTAAATTGGTAATTGCCACTCCTCCAGCAAAGGTCCCCGCTCAGCCATAGCTGCATTCTGGTTATAACACAGGTCCCACTGCCCTATGCCACCCAGACTCACAGCAAGGCAGACATCTGACAGGCTCTCTACGTACCTGGCACAAGGATCCAGGTCCTCAGACTTGGGACTGACTTGAGGGTGGTGGGAACACAGGGCTGGTATGGAAGTTTCAGTTTCTTCCAGGATGCTGTGCTACCTTCCTCAGCACCAGAGACAAAGCACAGGAGTATATTCCAGCTTCTTTTTGGGAAGAGGTTATCCTAAAACCAGAAGGGGAATGATATCCAGAGTCAGAATTTCACCCACATCTATTCTGTTCAAAAGCCCAGTCTTTTTATGCCACCATGCTCAAAATAACAGGGGAAATGTTGAATAAGTATTATTGAGATGACTAAATAACAATTTAGAAATACATTTAAATACCTCAGGACATATATAAAAGTAAACTCAAGGGGCTGGGATGTGGCTCAAGCTGTATTGCGCTCGCCTGGTGCGCGTGCGGCCCGGGTTCGATCCTCAGCACCACATACAAACAAAGATGTTGTGTCCGCCGAAAACTAATAAATAAGTATTAAAAAAAAAAAAAAAAAAAAAGTAAACTCAAAATCAGGGGTTCAATATATCATGAATTAGAATTGGGCATCACACTTGATGGAACAACTTTCTAAAAGTTGAGGCAACTAAAATAATAGGAAAAAAACAGGCCAGGTGTGGTGGTGCACATCTGTAGTCTCAGCAATTTGGGAGGCTGAGTCGCAGAAGGATGGCAAATTCAAGGCTAGCCTCAGCATCTTAGTGACACTCTATTTCAAAATAAAAAAATACAATAAAATAAAAAGGACTGGGGATGTGGCTCAGTGGTGAAGCACCCCTTGGTTCATAGAGCCCCCACAGGCACAAAGCTCTGGGTTCAATACCTGGTATCAGAAAAAAAAAAAAAAAAAGAACTCATCAAATTTTCTCATTAACTTTTCTTAAAAAAGACATTGATAAAAAACTTCTGCCAAGCAAGAAAGGAACAGAAAAATTATAGCAAGAGCCTTCAATAAAATAAATATGAGGAGTATGTTTATAGAACACAATGCAAATATTACAAACTCTAATGATGTTGAAATTATAAAACCAACAAAAGGTGGCAAGAATAAGGGGAAAAGTTAATATAGGACTGAAGAGAGAAGGAAGGAGAAAACAGAAGTGAAAATTTAAGTTAGAAAATTTTAAACATGGTAGAACAAATACGCCTAAGAGTTTGTTTTTTGAAAAAAATTACGAATTAACCTAATTAAGGGGGAAAAGAAATGTAAAAATTAAGTAATTATCGGGGGCTAGGGTTGTGGCTCAGCGGTAGAGCTCTCACCTAGCATGTATGAGGCCCTGGGTTCAATCCTCAACACCACATAAAAGTAAATAAATAAAGGTATTGTGTCCAACACAACTAAAAAATAAATATTAAAAAAGAATTATCTAAAATACAAAAGAAATTAAAATAATGAACAATCTACTTTTTCAATTCTGTTTATTTTGAAAATTTAAATAAAATGAATATTACATTCTTAATATGTATTCATTTTACTACTGAATGTATTCAATATGTTCATACATATATATTCATTTCCCATTTGGTAAAATAAATTTTCCGAAAACTTCAGATAAAAGAGAAAACCAAACCCAGCCAAGAAACACAGAAGAAATACTTACCAAAAACCACTCCCTCTCATTTTCCAGCCTCAAAAGAGGCCCAGATATTCCTTGCCTAGCATGCGTGAGGCACTAGGTCCGATCCTCAGCACCACATAAAAATAAAATAAAAATATTATGTCCACCTATAACTAAAAAATAAATATTTAAAAAAAGAGGCCCAGATAGGTTCTACAGGAATTCTTCCTAACCTCAAAGGAGCAAATAATCCCAATGCTACTTAATGTGTCCCAGAATATAGTAAAAGAAGAAATTGTCTTCTTAGGAAATGATAAAATTCTGATGACAAAACCTGACAGGTGGGAGCTCCAGGACTTTAGGTGACACCTGGGTCCTCCTCTCTTTCTGCTTCACTGTCCTTAGCACGTGTCTTCATCTTTAGGGTCGCCTCGTGGTAGCAAGATGACTATATAACTCCAGTTACCCTGCCATGCAGAGGTGGAAGGGTAAATGGCAGCTCCATCAGACTTCCACAAAGCCCTGCCTAGTGACCTTCATTTAAATTGCTTTGATCCACTCGGAGACACATGACCTCCTCTAGCTACAGGGAGGGTTGAGGCAGGTAAACCCCCTCTTGAAAATCATGGTTTGCCAAATATAATACAGGAGGCCCAATTAAATTTGAATTTCAGATAAATAAGTATGTTAGAACATACTAAAAAGTTATTACTATTAATTTGAAATTCACATTTAACTGAGAATTTGGGTGTCCTATTTTTCTGTTTTTGTTTTGAAAAACCTGACAGCCTTACTCATAAGTTATCAGGTATTCGTAACTCTGGCTCTTATTGTCATCATTTCCTTATGTTTTAAAAATAGTTTTGTCACCTGTTGTGCATCCCTAGACATTATTAGTCTTGCCCATTACAAATTTAAATCTCTTTTAAGTCTCTTTTAATATATCTTTAATAATCTCTTTTAATCTATCTTCCATCCCTTCCTTTTCCTTAAAATGAATACAATAGACAAGATAGTTTCAAAAGAGTGAAGCAGAAGGACTATATATATATATAGACAGATATATAGATAGATAGATAGATGACATAGGTATATAGAGATAGATATGGAACTTTGATATATGACAGGTCACGTTGTGAATAATTCGTTGGAATAAGAATGAAATATTTTAAATGGCATTTGGACAACTGAGTTAAGATAAACTGACTACTACAAAAATAGCCAGCAATTATTCCCCGCTCTGTATGTAGGTTTCCTTATCATGTAACTTTAATGCCTTGACTCAGAGCCTGAGGTCAGCCAGGCCACTTGCTGTGGCTAATGGGATGCTGCCACACATGACAGGCAGAAGCTTCCACAATGGGGCCTGTTCTCTTTTGCATTCTGTTGAAATCATATGAAGAAATCGGGTAGGTGGGCAATGAGGGATGCCTGGCTCAGTGGCAGATACGTGGGACATGTAGGTGGACAACCTCCCAGTAATCAACATCCAGAGTCAGAGGAATGTAGGTGACTGGCAACTGACCACAGGACCAGGAGTGAGCTCAACCTCACTGGAGCATAAGTTAAATAAATAGGAGTTGTTTTAAGCTACTAAATTTTGAGGTGGTCAGTTATACAGCAAACTAGCAGATACAAGTATTACATGGAAAAATATGAACAAAACTCTGGATTACTACCTCCCATTTTACGTGTATGTGTGTGTAATATTTTTCTATTTCCATATGTATCCAGGTAGATTAGATGTGTCCTAGACATGTATCCAGGTAGATTAGAGACTTAAATATGACAAACAAAACTTAAACTTTTTGACAGAGAAAAGAACATTATGACCTCAGATTAGGGATGTTTTTTAAGCAAGATGCAAAAAATACAAAACATAAAGGAAAAAATTATCACATGTAACTTCAAAACATTTGCATCTCAAAAGAAACTAAAAACAAAGTTAAAAGACAAAGAATTAGCATTTGGAATATATAAATAACATATAGAAATCAATAAAAGTTAAAAAATCCAATAAATAAATGGGCAAAAAATATAAACAAGTAATTCACAGATGAAGAAATCTGCATGCTTTTGTGTGTGTGTGTGTGTGTGTGCATGGACACACATACGCACACATACACACACAACTTAACCTCATTAGGAGTCAGGGAAATGGAAATGAGAAGCCATTTCACATCCATCATTGGCAAAAATTTTCAAAATTCCCATTTTGAGGACTTGGAGGGGATTCTCAAAAACCGATGAAGGGGATATAAATTCATACAATGACTTTAAGATCAATTTGGCATTTTCTGATAAACTTGATAATGAGCTCCCCATTCTCACACACACTCACACACACCCACTCCACCCCACACACACCCACCCACCCACACACACTCTCTCTCTCTCACATAAATTCTCACACATGTGCACAAGGAGATTCACAAGGATGTTCACGATCTAAATGTCTGCAATGCTTTAAGCATGTTCCCCAAAATGCCTGTGTTGGAACCTTAATTCCTTACTGTAGCAGTGCAGGGAGGCAGGGCCCGGGAGGAAGTGTCTGCTTATGGAGCTAAGCCCCTGTGAATGAATTCATGTTTTTCTCTCATGAGTGGATTCACTATCTCAGGGGTTCTGCCCCCTTATCTCTCTTCCTCATGCATCTGCTTGTCCTTCTGCTATGAGGCCCTTACCAGAAGCCAAGCAGATTCCAGCACCATACTCTTAGATTTCCTAGCTTCAAGAACTATGAGGAAAAAAATCCTCTTTCCTTTATAAATTACCCAGTCTCACGTATTCAGTTACAGCAACAGAAGATGGATTAAGACAATGTCTATTGCCTGAAAAAAAGGTAATGTGGGAATTACAAACATCAAATTCAATGGGATAGGGAAGGCAGTGCAATAGGAAAGGGACATGCAGGAGGCTCATTCAATTTCAACATTATATTTCTAAAGATAGTAGCTGTGTGTATCAATGTGTTTCTTTCATGTGCCTGAAGGATGTCATAAATGTTAAACGTATGGAACAACAAATCACATCTAAGCTCTGAAAAGGAACTTAAAGGTTGTGATGAAGAGACAAGTTCACAGACCTAAGTTTTCATAATGAAGGTATCATTCACTTGGAGATGTACCTAGTTCAACCCTGCACCCTGCGAATCACTCAAGAGAGTCTGCCCTAGAGATGACTTTTTGTTTTGCAGACTCAGAGAAGAGATGTAAAGCAAAACAAAGCAATAAAGTACAACTTTTTTTCTGGGAGGTGGGTATGGGGATTACACCCAGGGCCTTACATATGTTAGACAAGTGCTCTACCACTGAGCTATATCCCCAGCCCTTTTTATTTGATTCTGATACAGGCTCTCACTAAGTTGCCCAGTCTAGCCTCAAACTTGTGATCCTCTTGCCTCAGTCTCCCAAGTAGTTGAGATTATAGGTGTGCAACACCTGCCAGGCAAGAAGGTACAATTTAAAAAGCTAAGCAAGGCATGGTAGTACACACCCATAATCTCAGCTACTTGGGAGACCAAAGCAGGAGGATCCCAAGTTCGAAGCCAGCCTTAGTAACTTAGTGAGACCTTCTTTCAAAAATTCAGAAGAGCAGGAATGTAGCTGAAAGGTAAAGTGCCCGTAGGTTCATTTTCCAGTATAAATAAATAAATAAACAAGTAGCTAGCTAAAGCAAGGGGCGGTAATGATACTAATGGCTACTTAGAAGAAACAAATGAAAACAGAAATTCTTTCAATACTGGTGATACTGGTACCATGTTTCAAAACACACATGCATCACCAAGAGGAATAATATGACATGACTTCCAAGCCATTTGAAATGAATCTCTTATGTCCTCACAACACTACATACAGTTATCACCATTTCCTGGTGTATCTTACACAAAAAAACATTCTTGTCAGTGATGTTTACCACTGATGTCAAACTATACCAAATTTGCTTAAAAAACAAAAAACAAAAAACACCAAAAACCCCAAACTCCACAATGGATGAATCAAAGCTAGAACAGGGAAACAACATTCCTCCCATCTTATTCCCATAATGCTCCCTGCTCCAGTCCTAGGTCTCACTGGCATCCAAATGCAGGGCAAAGGTTAAGGGCTTGCCAATGTAGGCCATGGGCAGGAATCCAACCTTTTTCTAGGTCAGAGGCCCCCCCCCCACCACACCACCCCCCCCCCACCGCCCCACCCGCCCCCCC